AAAATAAACATTAGTTCCAAACTTTTACTAAACTTTTCAGTGAAGATTTTCCTGCAGATTAAAGTCATCTCAGCCGTATCCAGAACCACAGCGAGGGACACGCTTTCTGCTATCGCTGCTATATTCAATCACACGTTTCCACTTCCATCCTCTCCCTGGGTAACCCTGCTTTTAAAAGCTCTGTGGAGTCTAACTGCATCCCTCTCTGTGGCTTCATCACTCATAAAAGGACACATCAGTCACCGGAGGCAAGAGACGCAGCGAGAGAGGAGAGAGGTCAAAAGAGGCAGAGAGGCTCGAGAGGAGGAAGAAAGGGAGATGATGAAAAGAAGCGATGCTGCAGACAGAGAAGACAAACAGGAACAAGTGTTTTCATAAAAAGAAAGTCGGCCCAGAGAAAGAGATGCAGCAGTGAAATGGAAGAATATGAGAAGCCATGTGTCCATTAAGAGAAAATAACACGAGCGTGATGCTGCAGTGGACAGTGAGTGAAAATAAACTGCTTACATCAGTTACTTCAACCACAGATGCCATTCAGCCAGCAACTATCTGTCCTCACTGCACCTCTGTGAGCTGCTTCAGGCTGTCTGGAAAACGTATAAATACAAAGACGTCAGTTACAGCTGACACACACAATGCTCACTGGTTTCCTCAGTCACTGTGATTAATCTGGATGGCTGCTTTTGGAAATGATGAGCAGTGGTCACTGCCTCTACTCCCAAAGTCTATGACACGCAGCGAGAGGAAGAGCAGCCGAAACACACTTAGGCGAGATGGTGCAAGATCTCTACTACGCTGTGTGTTAAATGTGCAAAAAAAAGTTTCAAAATCTCTACTTACTTACTTATGTACTTCAAAATACTCAAGTATTTTTTATTTTCTACTACTTTGTGCTTCATTTTACAACTTTTTACTCAACTACATTTATTTTAGAACTTTAGTTACTTTGCAGATACAAAATATAAATCAACAAAGACATAATGATCCATTATTATAGGTTAACATAAAATAAGATACTGTCTTAGAAAAAAAAGGTACAGTCCAGCTTCTAACATAGAAATATTTTCTGCTTTTCCATATTTTCCTTTTAACTATTTTATTAATAAGTTCAGGTTAAACAGAAGAAGCAATTTAAAAACATCATACTGGGTTCTTGGAAGGTCCGGCTGGCAATACTTTAATTTGATAACTTTTAAAATGTTTGCCATCCAACAATAAACCAATTATCAAAGTAATCACAGGTCATTGTTATTGACTAATTGATTAATCGACTAATTGTT